AGAAGTTTAAGCCCAACACGTTTTGTCGTTGGTAAACACTCTTCTGATAGCTTGGTAGGTTTAGCAGCGTCTGTTCGTCTTTCCTTACTATAGGGAGCCATGATGTACAATATAGTAAGAAGAAGTACAATGAACATTTTGGCTCCTCGTAAACTTCATCGTTCTTCCCCAGCCGTCCTGGAAAAGAAAATGTAAGTGCATGTCGAAATACACTCGTTTGTGCGTAAAAACACAATGTCGGCAAAAAAAGGAAAATAAACTCATGCACACGTAAATGCGCTAGAAAATTTATCATGTTTTTTAAAATAAAAATATAAATATATAAGCATATTAAGATTGTTTTTTTTTGAATATTATATATCGTAAAAAGAAAGATCGAGATAATATAAAACGTCGAGTAGTGCCTTACGTGCAATAGTCGTTTAAATGTTCTGAAAATCTTACTCTTCTTCCAGAACGCGTCGTTTCAAGTTTATTTTCAGATACATTCGGGGTATCATCGCGTGTGTTGGTTATCGGTTGAGGAGTTATGAATGTAGGAGTCGTGTTGTGCGATTGTACCGAAGGGAAATCGACGTAGATAGGATTTCCTTCTAAATACGCTGTTTTCAAGCGATCGATGCTGATGCTATCGTTTGTTCCGTTCTTGTCGACTATATAGTACTTAGATTCACGTTGAAGAACTTTAAAAGGTCCCTCGTATGCTGATTCGAATGGTCGTCGATGCGAGTCTCGACGAATGAAAACGTGTGTACTATATCGTAAGTCAGGTTGAACGAAAACATCAGTTGATTGAGGTCGAGTGGAAGCAGGTTTAACTGAACGCATTGCGTTTGTAAGCCTGTTTGTGCAGGAGGTTAGATCCATGTTCATTGAAGAGGATGAAGGATCCACGAATTCTCCTGTAAGTCGAAGTGTCGTTCCATAAACGAGTTAAGCTGCAGTGTATTCAATGTCAGCTTTCACTGCACTGCGAATACCTAGTAAAACGAGTGGAAGAGCATCGGTCCACTGTGAAACGTTTGCAGCTGATAGTGAAGCTTTTAGTTGTCGGTGAAAGAGTTCTACCAACCCGCTTGCTTGTGGGTGGTAGGCAGTCGTTCGGAAGCGAGTGATTCCCAAAAGTGTGGTCAGACTACGGAAAAGTTCAGATTCAAACTGACGTCCGCGGTCTGTAATGATGGTTGAAGGGCCGCCGAAGTTTGCTACCCATCGTTCGACGAAGGCGCGGGCCACTGTTTCAGCAGTGATGTCCTTGATAGGTACCGCTTCTGGCCATTGAGTGAACCGGCCTACGCAGGTTAAGAGATAAGAGTATCCATTTGAATCTGGTAAAGGTCCGACCAAATCCAGATGAACATGGTCGAAACGAGCATCGGGAGTTTTAAATCAGCCTAAAGGACATTTATTGTGTCTGAGAACCTTAGGCTAGCAAAACTGTTCTGCTATAAGCTTGATGGTTGCACGAACACCTGGATGAGAAAGTTTGTGCAAAGTATTGAAGACGTTGCGTCGATAACGTTTCGGAACGATTGGGCGATCCCTACCTGTAGATGTGTCACAAAGTAAGGTTTCCTTACCTGTTTACATCTGTTTGATGCGTAGTTTGAGGGTTGTAGACGAAAACTCGTGCTGAAGATCAGTGTCTTCTTTTTGAAACTGGGCGAGTTTAAGAAGGTCGATTCCTTGGAAACTGTTCAAGGAAGTTATGCGAGACAGGACGTCTGCAGCTACATTATTTGCTCCAGAGATGTGTTGAATGTCTGAAGTAAACTGTGAAGTGTAGTCCAGTTGTCGAGACTCACGGGGAGAGTACTTGTCTGAAGGAGAGCTTAGAGAGAAAGTAAGAGGTTTATGGTCAGTAAAAAGAGTGAATTCACGACCTTCGATGTAGTGTTGAAAATTTCGTACAGCACAATACATAGCTAGGAGTTCCCCACCGAATGTGTTGTACCTCAATTCGGTGTCTAGCAACCTTCTAGAGAAAAATGCCAAGGGTTGCCAGGAGTTGTTAACCCATTGTTGTAAGACTCCTCCGATTGCTGAGTCGGATACGTCTACTGCGATACTAATGGGTGCTCGGGTGTCCTGATGTGCAAGCATTGTTGCTTTAGCGATGAGTTCCTTAATTGTGGAGAATGCTTTTTGTGTAGTGTCGTCCAAATTAATGGATTTCGCATTTCCACGAAGTTGGTCGGTAAGAGGTTTCATGAGTAACGCGTATTTAGGTATGAATCGTCTATAGAAACTTACAAGGCAGTTAAACGTTCGTAGTTGCTTGATCGTAGTCGGTTCTGGGTAATCCAGAATTGCCGCCACTTTGGTCCTAAGAGGTCGAATGCCTTGAGCATCTATAGTGTGTCCTAGGAAGTTTAATGAGTCAGCTCCGATTTGACATTTCTGAACGATTACAGTAATGCCATGTTTTTGTAGTCGGTCGAAAACAAGATCCAGATGCTTGAGATGTGTTTCTCTGTCCGGACTTGCGATTAGGCAGTCGTCAACATACGCATGTACGAAGTTGAGACCTCAAAAAACGTCGTCTATGAACCTTTGGAATGTTTGTGCAGCATTTCTTAGACCGAAAGGCATTCGCAAAAATTCATAGAGTCCAAAGGGAGTAATGATGGCGGTTTTTGGAATGTCGTCTGTGGCCATGGGGATTTGGTTATACGCTTTAACCAAGTCGATTTTCGAAAAGACAGTTGTACCTTTCAAGGTAGCTGTCAAATCGTGAATGTGAGGCAACGGGCAACGATCGGGAATGGTTTTCGCGTCCAATCGCCGATAGTCACCAGTTGGACGCCAATCGTTGCTGTCCTTTTTAGGGACCATGTGCAACGGAGATGCATATGGGCTGTTTGACGGTCGTATGATTCCTAAGCCTATCATGTGATCGAACGCGTTTTTCGCCAACCTTAGCTTTTAAGGGGCTAGTCGTCGTGCTTTGAGTAATGCAGGTGGTCCTGTAGTCGTGATGTGATGTGCAACGTTGCTGGTTACACACGGTAGTTTCGGTTGCGTTTGATGAATCCCAGGATACTTATCGAGTAGCGGTTGATAAAATCGGTCTATCGTGTGTTTAATTGTGACTGGGGATAATCTGCAACCAGAAAAAGAAGTTACGCAAACGGATAAATTAGTGTTTCCGTCTACTAGCCTCCGTAACATACCTTTTGCCATACGTAGCGATCGGTTTTCCGTTTGCCGCCTGTAAGTTTGAAGGTGATTCATGAATCCGGTCGTTGGGATTCGCTGGGAGAACGCTAACTTCTGCGCCAGTGTCGACGAAGTAGCTAACTCTCGTTGTCACATCTGTGACGTACAACAGACGGCTATGTTCTCCGGCTATGGTCGCCGTTAACGCGTGCCGGCTTGGAAGTTTCCCGAATTGTCTTTCGAGTCAGTCGGTTTTGAGTTGGGAAAATTGGAGGGTTTTCTGCAATTTCTGGAAGACTTTCCATACTGGTTATGATACCAGCGCCAGTCGGGGTTATCCTTCTCTCGTGGTCTAGAGACAGATCGCTTACGTAAAGTGCTTCTACGTGGGGTGTGTGATCGCTTACGGTCGTTGCGAAAATTAAGATAACGCGTAAGTGTACGACATAACTCGGTTATATCATTCTGAGTCGTTTGAGGCTGTTCTTTGACTAAAAAAACCTCGGTAGTAGAAGATTTCGTAATTTCTAAAATACAATCGGCAGATGCAGCCAGTTCGTCTAAGGCGTTGTTCTAAAACGAGACCAGAACCGCTTGCATCTTTTGGGGAAGTTTAGACAAGAAGAGTTGTTTGAATAGGCCTTCGTCGAAAGTTCTTAGGCCAATAGCCTCTCTCATCCTTTGCAACATGTCCGTCACAGAACCGTGTTGCAGGTCTATGTTATTAAAGATTTGGTCTAACCTTTGTCGATCGGTTAGGTCTCCTCGTTTAAGAATGGAACATTTTAAGGTTTCGTACGGTTCAGAAACATCACTAGTAAACATACTGGGCGTTACGTACCTGTTGAATTCCCGCGGTAGTGCCTTGACTACTGCGAGGAATTGTGCACGTGTGTCGTTCATGCCGTGCTCGTGGAAGTCAGCTTCTGCGTAGCAGAACCAGGCTTCGTTATTGTCGGCCCAGAAAGGCATGAGTTGGAACGAGGGTGGGGACATGTTCTTAATCTTAAATACCTTAGGAGTCTATTCGGTCATAGGGGAATACTAAGTTCGAGAATACGAGGGAAAAATATATAGATATCCTGAGACACGGGGAAAAAATATCACAATGTATAAAAAATTAAAATAAAGCAATGATATATAGAATCCCAAAATGGAACACACAGTTTACGATTTGGTGTATCAGATCACGTCGGGCTCACCAATGAAGATGGCACAGGTATTCAATGTTTGACAACGCTTTTACCAGTAACACCTTCCAATATAACTCGTACCCACCAAGAGGAATCAAAAGACAGAATTGAGGAGATTAGAAGTTGTATTTGACGATTGCCAATGTATCGGAACTATCTGATCTAATCTGGCTAGCGATTGCAGTAGCAGTTGAGCACGGCGTTCCCACACGTGATCTGGTGCGGATGCATGACCGAGCGCCTTCAGCTGGGTGAGTCCATTAAAACATATGGTCAGCATCCAATGTCGAAAAATTACAGAGCTGTTTATTCTGGGGAATTACTTACCGCTACAGGAGTGTTAACGAAGGCGTCGGACGAAGGCATATGTTCCATATACGTGTTTTTCGGTGATATATCACGAGGGTGTTGTGAAAGAGAAGAAAAAATAAAAGGTTGAGAAGAAGAACAAATAGCGTTCATGACTAGTGAAGCTTAGTAATTTGTGATGGAATAAATAAGATGATGAGAACTTTGACTTATTGCCTTAAATGTAGCTAAACAGGTTAAAAATATTGGCCAAAATTATGGTGACGAATGGACATATACTGTATACAATCCATTTATATATAAATAGAAAAGAATCAAAAGAGCTGAAAGTCTAAGTTTATGTTTCAATCTTCAAAGTCTGATTGTTTGTGCAGTTTCCTTTGCGGATTGTGTAGGCGGAAATTTGATGTTGTATGTTACCCGATGACTTTACCGACTACTGATGATTTGTACTCATGTTATGATAAACTAACCGACAGTTCTATAGATTTAAAGGAGGTTGTGACTGTGATTTTCTAATATTTCGTCTATTATTAGAGAGAAAATACCTACAAAACAGTACTTGTAGGTGTTAAAGGCGATGAAAATGCAAAGAGATTGTCAAGTCAGTTTATAGCAAGATTTAGCAAACTTTTCGAGAATCTACTGGAGGAAAGTTTCAATTGTTTTCTGGATTTATGTGACGACGACGATGTAAACGTTCGAAGTCAAGTGGTGCACGATTTGTTACAGTTTTGTAAACATGCACGGGTGTTCGTCCCACGTGTTGCTGATGTTCTCGTTCAAATGTATCAAACAGATGATAAGAAGGTAACTAATCTTAACTAGTGTGCGATGTTTAGGAGCTGAATGTAATTTCTTTGGCTTTGTCTCAACTACTTCATTCGGAGCCGAAAGCGACCTTACTAGGAATATTCAATCGACTTCTTTCAATGAATGCAGAAAATTCTAGAGAAAATACTCTCAAATTCCTATGTGAACGTTTAAAAAGTCTACCAGACAATGTATTAACCAGTGATCTGGAGTCTTTTGTGGTTGAACAAACTAATCGAGTGCTACATGATGTTTCTGAGGATGAGTTTCCAATGTTAATCTCTTTACTATCATCCCTGAAATGTATGTCTACACTGACTGGCAGGCAAAAACTAGTAGGCATGATCTCTCAGCAAGCTTTGCAGGCCGTTCCTACATTCAATGTAAGTCAGTTCGAAGTTGTGGTAATATGTAAAGGCTAGTGATCGGGCATGTATAGCTCAAGTTCGGGAGAGTTGTAGACAGGCTGCCTTATGTATATCTGTAAGTAACTTTATTTTATAGATATTTCCTAAACAGAAAAACGTTAATGCTCATGACTTGTACATATACATGTTGGAAAAATTCCTACCACAATTTGGTGACTTTGCTGAAGACACTTTCGACGAACGACTGAGCTTACTTCAGTTGACCGCAGAGCTACTGTTTTTCCCAAGTCAAGCACTTGCATCGATAAAGTCAGAGGATATAACAAAATATTTAAACTCTGCTTTTAATATACTGTCAATGTTCTTGCCTAACATCCCTTCGGAAGAAACAGCTGACAACGTGGGTCACAAATATTTTTTATTAATAATCTTTAGTTGAAACAGCCTTCTATAGAAAAGCCAACATTAAACCAGATGGGTTTGAAGTTTTCGGAGTTAGAAGCAAGTTTGTTTTTATGCTGCCAGCTTGGATGTTATTATCCTCAATATTTTGGGGGGAAAGCGATTGATAATGAACCTGAGTTATCTGTTATCGAAGATGGAGTCGATAGATTACGTACTGTCAGACCTCGTCTCCAGTACTTAAGTCAGCTAGCACAAGATTATGCAACAACAATATCTGGTCAGTTGGATAAGAATTTACAGTCTGAAGAGAGCAAGCTTCGAATCATGGCTCACAGAGTGAGTTCTTTAGCTTTTCCAATAATCTGTTGAGGATATTTTATGGTCTCGGTTTTATTCAAATTGATGTTCAAAACTAAACAAAACGTCTCATTTAATAGGTAACTCCGATGTCACAATTAAGACTACTCAAATTTATACATATAGCTCAAATCAACAGCTATTCGTATCTTGAGCAGTGACGTTATTGATGAAACCCTTTAAGTTTTATGGACCTGCTTCGGTCTGGGCACCCGGGCAGTATCGCAGCCCACACGCAATTAATGAACTGAACTGTCTATGATCATGGAAACTAATTCTCTTGCGTCAACGAACATTCAAATGATTCAATTATTATTATTGCTATTATTATTATTATTATTATTATTATTATTATTATTATTATTTACTGCGTCATTCACCCTCTTTTGTTCCTACTCTGTCTATACTTATTTTTTTCGACTTATACAGCAGCTCGTCTTTGGTGGAAATTCGACTGTATCTAAACGTTCTCGAGTCACTGTCCGGTTGAAAATTGTATGTTACCACCGAATATGAGTACTGAAGCAGTTTTTCTGAAACCACGTGCGCCGTTCAAACTGGCTGCCTTCAACATTCGCACACTTATGCAGGTCGAACAACAGATAGGGCTGGCTATGTCTTCGGAAAGTCTTCATATCGATGTCTGCTGTCTATCCGAGACCCGTATTCAAGACTCTGGCGAAGTACTACAAATTCGATCTCCATCTGTCGTTTCAAAAGGTTTGTTTTACATGCGCTTATCCAGAGATCCTGTGGCATCTTCGTCTGGTGTTGCTGGCGTTGGTGTCGCACTAAGCGCTAGAGCTGAGGCAGCACTAGTCGATTGGTCCCCATTAACAGTCGGTTATGTGCTGTTAGATTAGAGAGTTCCATCAAAGTGAGAAGAAATCGGCGTGAGGAACGATGTCTCTTCGTCATCTCCGCCTATGCCCCGACAGATTGCAGCCCGGATGCAATCAAGGATGAGTTTTACCACCAGTTATCTGTTCTTCTCCAGAAAGTGCGTTCGACAGATATTGTAGTACTAGCCGGAGACTTGAATGCTCAGGTCGGGCATCTAGGCACAGAAGAGGGTCGTTTAGGTGGCCGATGGGGACTCGTTGGTCGCAGGTCAGATAACGGGGACCGTCTACTGCAACTGTGCACAGACCACAACCTGTTTCTGGCTAGCACTAACTTTCGGCACAGTTATCACCGATGTGCCACCTGGCGTCCTCCCTCTGCATCTCAAGCCTGGACTCAGATTGATCACATCGCGATCAGCTACCACTGGCGTGGTTATGTACAAGGCTGCCACTCCTTCTGGAGTACCTATCTGGACTCTGACCTTACCTTTCAGTGGACAACGAAGTGACCGCCATCAACCGATTGATTTCAGCAAGCTGGTTGCAACTTCTGTTGCTAGTAAGTATCGAACCGAACTAGCTTCTAGGCTAGCTACCACTCCACCGAAAAGTATAGATGAGCATTGGTTGCAATTGCATGACGCCATGAAAATGGCGGCTACAGTCAGTTGTGACTTCGCGAAACGTCCCGCTTATAAGCACTGGGTTTCTTCTGGTTCCTTACAACTCATTGAAGCCCGTCGGTCTACTCCGGGTGACCGTGAGTTTGACCACAAACGAAGGTTGTTACGTAGTGAAATTGTGCAAAGCTTGCGTAAGGACCGAGAAGCCTGGTGGTCGGAGCGTGCTAATGAGCTGGAAGCAGCAGCTGCATCTGGTAACTACCGGAAGCATATATATTTGCCGCACTCCTACACCAATATATATGTGTTCAAATAAATAAATAAATAAGTTTTATGGTGATATCTATTGTGGCCTATTTGTCGAGTGCAGTTTAATGTATTTGACTTCAAGACAATTTTTACCCCATGAGTCATGATAATACCATGCTAGGTACCTTAACTACTAAGCCACAACAGGAGGTGGGATCAATAAATGAAGAAAAATAGGTAGAATTTACAGAAATACGAACGTAATATGCTGGGAATAGTCTCAGTATTAAAGCACTCGATTTGATCAGTAGCCATCTTTAGTCAATTTTTCATTTTGTGCCATCAGCTTTAAAGGCTTGCGTTGCTATCTACATCTCAATAGATCATAGCTTTGCTTCTGATTACTGAAAAAAGATTAACTCAAGCAGTGTATTCTTCTAAAACCGAACCTATTTTGAAGACAACCTATTTCATACAGTGTAATTTGACCACTACTTATGTTAATTACCAAGCAACTGATTCTGTGTATGTTTGCAAACATTTCTTGGCTTCGATTGGTAAATAGAATTAACCAATATCATTCAACACACCCCACTTTCGAAGGACTTATCTTCTTTGTATGGATCTTCTTAAACGATTTGTTTAACCTCATTTCTACAAAGTGAGCTAAAAATTGGGGTATATTCGGCTCAGTTAAATGTATTATTTATATATTTGAACATATGAACATTGGTACAGGGCGGCACCAAATGCATATGCGCCGCACAACAACAATGAGGTTGTGAAGAGATAGATGTAAAGTGCTTATAATAATAAGAACAGCGAACAGAAATCAGTGTATGAGAGTGGAATAATAATGGTAATCATGGGAGAAACAGTTCAGTTAGCAAAAATATGACCAGAAAGAATCCTTTCAATTAAAGAAGTTACGTTCATTTTTTATGAAGAAAGTAAAAGACAGTTACGGCAAGATCGCCACTGGCTTCTATTCCGAGACATATCTGATGACGTCTCTAGCCACTATGTTTCACCATCTGTAGGACCCCATCCAGGGAGTTGTGAAGGACCAGCAGACGCCAGTTATGTACAGCTTTCCTTCATACCACCACACCATGTCATACACTGACCGCTCGACTTTTTCCAACCAGTCCCAATGTCGGCAAACAATCCACGACGTGGAATTCTCTGGGACGACATTTGTAGGATATGCCCAAGTCACCAAAGTGGATGTTTCAAGATAGTGCCGCCAATTGAATTATCGTCGCTATACCCGAACACACGATGCCGTACCCCCGCATTACTAACATGGTTTTGCCACTGGATTCAACAGTCCTTCAGAGACAAAGATCAAATACAGAGAGCCGTCTAATATCCTCAACTCGGAGATGTCAGGTTTTATAAGCATAAAGCAAAACTGCTCTCATTGACGTGTTGTGGATCTGACCTTTTACAGCCAGACTAACATTACGAATGTGTCAAAGATGGCCCAGATTAGCATAAGCCACTCTGGCTTTCACTATACGTGAATCGATCTCATCACTCACGCCACCACCAACACTTATACGGCTACCCAGACACACGAACTCGACTACTTTTATCTGCTCACTACCTAGGCTGAGTGCAGGATCAAGGTCCTGCCACTCTTGTAAAAGTACTTCCATAGATTAACTCACTTGAAACAAGCTTTCCGAAGCGACAGATGGAGAGTGAATTTGTAGTACTTCGCCAGGGTCTTGAATACGGATCTCGGGTAGACAACAGACATCGATGTTAAGACTTTTTAAAGATATGGTCAACCCTATCTGTTGTCGGATTTGCATTGGTGTGGGAACGTCGAAGAAGGCCAGCTTGGATGGTATATGCGGTTTCAGAGGGGTTGGTTCAGCATTCGAAGTTGGTGGTAGTATTCAACCTTTGACCAGTCAGTGACTTGAAATTGTCTATATAAAACAGGGTTTTCACCATAGGCGAGCTGCTGTATAAGCTGAAAAATAAAATACGCAAAATGAGAATAAAGGCGAGTACGTAAGGAACGCAGTATAAAACAAATAAAAAACAAACGATTGTGAATATGATTTGTTTGAATGAGCGTTGAAACGAAAGCAATTTTTCCAGTAGTAACTATCACTGATTTGTGTGGGTGCTGGGACACTGCTCGGGTGCCCAGGTCGAAGTAGGTGATTTTCTTGGGGGGCCACACTCCTAGCTTTTCACTGAAAGGTCTAATCGACAAGGCAGTGGAGCAACGTTGGGAGATGGAGTCCCATGGTAACCGGTGGCCAACAATAGTTTCGTACGCCATCCGTTCCCCCAGGATCCTGTAGCCTATGTGCACCATTTGTTTGAAATGAGGGTTTCTTAACTCCCCTAGGTGGACCCCCCATATCCACCGACCCGGTTAACGCGCCGGACATTCGCTTTTCGTCTCCTCAATTTCCTCAAAAACACCCACTTTGCGAAAAGTCAATGAGTAGGACTTCGAAGGCAGTGGCTATATACGCGTGGGCATGTAAGGGCATTTCGATAGGGATAGCGGGCTCTCCCCATCCACCTTGGGAGTATTAAGTCGTTGTCAAGTTAGAACCTGGCATGAGTGTACGTCGGTCTGATTTGTCACACCTCACTTAAACAGCGAGAAAATATCAACATAACTAAATACAGATACTAGGATTCATGATAAAACCTAGCCACATGATTGTAAGATCAGAGTTTAAGTGACAATCATCCCAGGTTTTTTAGTCGTATAGATCAATAAACTTTGCTTATTACTGCGTTCTTGATAGGAAGACGTGTTGTTGTATTGAAGAAAATTTTGTAATTTTGTATTGCTTTAATTTTGAATCTGATGAGTATCAGAGTGTATTTACAAGAAGAAGAATAAATGTTATAGATTTTTATAAGTAAAATTGTATATGATGAAGTTAGAAAAAACTGCTGGTAAATGTTCTGAAGGTAAAAACTGAGTGTATATGCAAGTTATATATCCTCAACTTAATTTTTGTGGGCTAATTTTATCATGAAACTTACACAGAACGTGGGTAATTCCAGTGAATATATATAAGTAAATAAACAATTGTTTTTACACTTGATACACAGTGCTCATTTTATCGGAAAAAGGACGATCTTTCGTTCTGTGGAGCATTTTAGTCTCAAATCACTATGACTTGCAATGCATTTCATAACTATGTACATATTTTCCAATTAATCGAGAGTTAATTTACGTGTAGTATCAGTTAATTTGTTTACTTGTTTCTTTTTTGTTAGCTTATGATGAACATACAGCGAATGATACGGTGCTTTTTTCACAACCCTCCAATGTTCAAAACCATCAATGTAACATTGTCATGGACTCAATCACCTGTTACTTCGATTCCAGGTACAAAGCGTCCTCTTTCCACGGATTCGGGTAATCACCATAGTACAGGTGTTCGACAACCACGTGGTGATAGACTATTGTATACTCCACCAATCGGTCAGTGGTCTCGTGTTGATACTATTGATTCGAATAAAGGCAGATTTCGATTTGGTCGTAGTGGTCGGGGGCGTGGACGGAACTTCTAAATTGACATCGTTTGTTTTGTGTTACTTACCCCTCTTTAATTGCTAGCTGTAAAATATTCTCTAACCAGCTGTTGATGCTATTCTGTAATTCAACACATTTTAATACTTGTATTTTTCCTTTTTGTACATGTATGATATTAGTAAACAACATCTCATAATGCTTGGTTTTAATTTTTGTTGTCAGCTGCGCGCATCCCACAGTATTTTAGAAAGCTACTCAGTATGTGAATGTAACAAGGCAACTTGCTGCAACTAGCATTCTAGTCAGGACACATGTCGACTTGTATTCCTTTAGTAGCTTTTTTCGTGAAACGTGGCACCAAAAGAATAATGTACACCAACAAGGAAGTATAACCAAGAAGAGTCAGAATAATAAAAAAATAAATATGCCTCTTATATGGATATAAATATCGTCTATAACATTAACTAGGCGGATAGTTCCCGTTCATCTGGGTCATGATGTCATCCGACTGTGCAAATTGAGTCAAGTGGTTTTCTGAGGAGACAATTCTCAAATTTTGACCTCAAGATGTAATCCGGAGCTGAATGGAGCAGCGTCAAGGAATACAATCATATGGTAGCCAATGCCCAAAGTTGGCTCATATGGTATTCATTCATCCGCCCAGGACCCTTTAACCCATGAGGATACTGAATTCGAAATCAAGGGTTTCCAACTACCGTAGGCAGACACTATATATATACAATAATTCAGTTTAAGCTTCATAAATTTGCGACCTTAGCCACACCATGTTAATGTAGTGTGTGAAACTTCTTTGCTTGAGGGGATGAATGAGAGCAGTTGGATAATGAGGATATGTTCTACACACTCAGAAGTATCAGGGTAGTTAGGGGCGGAATAATATGAATTTCGATAGTCTTTAATTTATTTCAAAATGCATCAGTAATTTTTAGCATAATTCAGATCACAAAGTAATGTTCTTATAGATTTCATGGATGATCTGGACCTATTGATATCCTGGGATAATCAGTTATTAGTTCAAAGCCAAATTATGAGTAGGATATGTTGACGGATGTACGTTGTTGACCAATATTCAGCCTAATTACCCAAGAGGGACAGACGGGTCAATGGTAAAAAAAGTCCGGCTTTATTTTCTGCGGACATCTATATATTTTGATTCGAGTTAGGCAATAAAGGCTTCATATTCGATTTTAGTTTTCTTACTCAAGTAACTGTTTGGGTTCGCGCATGAAAACCATATATACAGGTTTTCGACTTAAACGACCATCCAAAATGAAATATTTAGAAACTGGTTTGTATGACTATATTTTTAAGATATAGAACTAGTATGAAACATCCCGAGTTTGTTATAAAACTACACTAGTTCTGTCTTAATTTCTGTTACTTCAATTGTAGCACTCCGTTTCAAGTGTAAACCTTGTCTTTTTAGTTTTTATATCCTATTACTTATTATCAATAAGTAGCTTGAATCTGCCGTTCAATTTTCACTCCTAAACTTATGTTAATAAGTAGAAAAATCATGTTAAAATAAATCTTAGCAAATTTTAGCCTTCAAATACGTTTAAATGTAGATATCCATTTGTCCTTACATGCGTTTACATTGCATGTTTTGAAAATTTCTACTTGTTGAATTTGAAAAAAATCAGGAAAGCGCAAAATTCGACGGTTCTACTGTTTGAAATCTCATCCTACGCAATGATCTTAAAGCCAATAAAACTGGAAGTCAAGAATGATGGGATGTGTGCGCATATTTAAATTATAGACCGTTGTCATAATTTGTAGGGTTCAAGCTGTCTATTTTTCGTAGGAAATGCTCAGCACGGCGTACTTTGGTTCAGACGGACTGAGTGCGTTCATTTAAGTATGTGTTCAGTAAAACCACTAGGGTGAACATCAATGTTGAGGACTTATGGCTATTTATTTTGGGGATTTATCTGTCACTACGAATTGGTCCCAGTAGTACTGTTTGATTTTGGGAATCAACCTTTGATTTGTTTGACGTTTGTGCACCTATCAATCGCTTTAATTTCTTGAAATAAAGTGTAGTCTCTTAAAGAAGGTAACAATAATGTCACTTCTACAACTGTCTTCCTGACATGAGATATAGATCTATTTAATAAGTCAGCCTGTGATAAACAGTCGAAAGAAGGGTAATATTTAAGTTACATTTAGCTTCATTATATATTGGAGCTCACTTAGTAACTATTGATAACAAGGGAGCTTTGAACAGTTGTTTCAACCTAGTATGAGATTACTCACCTGTGAACGGGTGGATTAAAACTCGGTGGTCTATTTACAACACGTCCGATGCGAGACAGAATGGAGTGGAATTTGATCCCTGGAGGGGTCGCTAGTACTCCTTAATAAGGAGTATGATACTTAGATCAATCGGGTGATATCAAATAATCACAAAAAATTAAATTCATTCCAATATAATCACAATTCTCGCAATCAAAGTTTTATTTACTAGCTTGGATATTGATGTTTTAAATTGAGACTCCAGGGAATACATCGTATTTAAAACTAATTGGTAAAGAGTCACTATTTTCTACCAAACCTTGTATTTCATTATTGATCATCAAGAAAATTTATTCGTTGACTGACACATCTTGTATTTGGATTCCTAGACACCAAATTCTTAACCCAAGGAATCTTCGACTCTTGAAACCCGAACAGAAAACAAAAGGTAGATAGTCGGAAGATGTTGTTGTTTACGAAATTGAGAGGACGAATAGCAAATGTCCGGCACTTTAACCGGGTTGGTGGATATGGGGGATCCACCTAGGGGAGTTGGAAAACCCTGATTCCAAACAAATGGTGTACGTGGGCTCCCGGATCCTGAAGGAACAAATGGCGTATGAACCAATTGTTGGTCACCGGCTACCATGGAACTGCATTTCCTTACGTTGCTACACTGCCTTGTCGATTAGACCTTTCGGTCAGACGCTCCGGATGTGGCCTACCTGCTTCCATTTGGGTACCCGGGCAGTATCGCAACGCTCACATAAATCGAATGATCTATGTAGCGCATATATATTTGCTGCCTCATTGTACCAATGTTTATGTGTTTAATAATAATAATAATAATAATAATAATAATAATAATAATAATAATAATAATAATAATAAATAACAGTCAGAAGATACTTTAATTCCACGGTTAGTTAATGCACAGAAAACAAGGATATTTACGATATCATATGTGACCACGAGCCTGTGAGAAGTTTTGAAAAAGTGTTAAAATTGGCAACAGTTTCAGTCAGTCAGTGCAAGATAGCAATTTACGATATGGTTTCAATGAAACTCAACGATTTTCAGAACCCCAAAATGAAAGTTTACAGTATAACGGAGTGGTCCATTTTATCTCATGTTTGTAACATGATTTGTAATATAACGCACGTAATTTAACTCTCGTTAGCTCTTCTAATTTTACTGCCGGTACCAAGCCCGGATAAAGAGGGGTCGGGTGCGTGGTTAGCGACCGTATACCACTTAAGAGAATCTTGCCAAAAATATCGTTAACCGGAAATATCGTTTGAACGATTTAAACCCCACCGAGTGAGTTGGAGGATCTTTATTTAGAAGAGTTATGATGCCTAGTGGTGAGAGCTGAGATTCTTCGGAAATCATGAGGTTTACGTCCCTTTTAACAACCAGAACGGTAACTAATATTGGTGGGAAGAATGTCTGAATAGTGTGGGAGGTCGCGAGAACCAGTCACGAAACTACAAAAACGAAAAGGTACAACTTTACCATGCTTGGAATAAGTGAAATCAGCATGGACATTAGATCTGTCTAGAGCGGAGAAGCATCAGGATCAGAAAACATACCAACTGAAGCTGAGATTCAAGAACAGAGAGTCTTACAAATTTAATTTAAATGTGACATGAGAGTTTGATACAAAACTGAAAATTATTATCATTCCCAAAATGTTGTTTTATAAAATACAGAAAATACAAATTTGATAATTATAAACAATCAACTATCAATATACAGTCGGTTACAGAAACATGAACTATAGTGAGTTCAAACCCAGTTATATCCGAAGCAGAATGTTTAATTTGTGGATTGTCCAATTGATAAAAATACGATATCTTATCAAATATACATGAAATTGTGAAAGTACCAGAGGATGAAGAAACAGAAAATTCTGTGAATAACACTCCGAGTCCAGGATTAAATGAATCTCTATTAGCCCTGAATAATTTTCAAGCTGAACTCCAACCATAACAGACATATGGTTCACGTGATATTTATTTAGAAAGCTTGAAAGATTTGTATGTAGAAAATGATCGGAGCAACACTATGAATACAAGTGTATCAAGTGAAATTCATAATCATTCTGATACAAATGCTTCTAAATATAAGTTGTCCTAATGATTCACATAATTCTTTTTAATGAAATTCCTCATAAAAACAAGGAAAATGTATCGAATGAATCAAATCCCAATAGGAACTTTAATGAAACTTTGTTAGTTGCTGATTGTTCTAATGACTTATTATTTCCCAATGAAATTCTTAAAAAATTTAAAGGAAATATCTCTGAATGATTTCATGAATGGATCAATGTTAGAGCACCATTGAAAACCTGGAATTACTGGAAGTGCGCATCCACGATCCCACACACAGCACTTTTGGTCGCGTGCAAATGCTCAGGAGTCCCACACTAGAATAAAACGGACGTTCAGTGCTTCCATATTTTCAGTGGTGGTCTAACATTTATCCATTTATGAAATCAATAAAAACTGGACAATATCCATAACCCTATACTGGAAATATTTCAGAAGAATGATATCCTGATGATGTCATACCAGATGTTATTTGTCCTCATAATGTATTTGTTTCTGGTGGAAAAGTTTATCATTATGAAGCACAAGTCCTAGATAAGTTTAAACCTGATTACAGTGCAGATGTTTACATTTGAATAATATCTAACACGAGCAGTACATTATAAAATAACCTGATATATGTATTATGGTAGACGTGACTAACCTATCGAAGTAATTACTACCCATATTTTGTTGTTCAGTGCTCTCTTCTTCTGTTTTATTTACTCTAGTTGTAGATGGTTATAATTGATTTGTTATGACACAGGAAATGAGCTTGAATACCGCATTCATACTTCTAATGGATGTTCATTTCAAAAGAATAATTAGTTCTCAGTTGATACATTTCATT